CCGCCGGCCGCCCCCGGGGCACGCCGCCGCTGAGAGCTGGCGTTAAGGCTTGCATGCGAAGTGCCGCCCCCGCCTGCCCTCGCCTCTTTCTTTTGTAGCGAATGAGGACCGGTCAGTTAGGAAAGGCACCACTCGAAGCAAGTCCCCGGTTGTCTGGTCGGTGGTGGCCGAGTTTCACAGCCGATGAAAACGTCTTGCACATCTAACCTAACTCGCGTTTTTAACTTTATAGTTTCCTGTTCGTTTTCAAACGAGGACCATAGCATAGTTGTTCTCTCTTTTCAGTTCATCTCTTCATAGTGGAAGAGTATGCATTTTTCAGAGGAACGTTTAATTACAAGGTGCTACTTTGCAGAAAAGCAAAATAGCTTTGGCAGTTGATACACGAGGAAAAGAAAGTGAGAGGAGAACTGCAAAAGCTGATGAACTGAAATCTTTGGAAACGCATGCTAAATGAAGCTTTGCAGTATTTTTGGCTCCGCTTAAGGACAATAAACAGGAGTTACTCCGATAAGATTTTCCAGTATCATGTGCCTGCTGCACCATTTAATATCTCATTAATGATCAATCTGGTGTACAGCTCAGGAATACTAGTCAGTAAATAGTAAGATCTTTACCTAAAGTGCATCGCCAGGTTCCCCTAATTTCCGTATGCTTCTTTGTAAGCACTATTATTTAATCTTGCTTATATTTATAAAGATTTGTATTCAGTAGACTATTACTCTAATGTGTGTATCTTTTTCCTAATAATCGCCAGCTCTCTTCAAGGACAAAGTATCTAACTCTCTTCACTTTGCTAACCTGTGTTTGTGGTAACTTTTTAATTTAGGTTTTGCAGGAAGTGCTTCTTGACAGCTATCAGAGAAAGTGGAACACATTGTCCTCTCTGCCGGGGGAGCGTGACTAAAAAAGAAAGAACATATCCCAAAAGGGCTCTAGATGTTGAGAACAGTATGAAGAAAGCTTCTGGGGGCTGTAGATGCTGTGAGAAGCAGGTAGAGTAAAACTTTACAAAAAGTTGGATAAATTTTTCTTATTTTTGACCAGACACACTTTTACTGTGTGTTGTTCTTGTCTTGGAATTAAAGAGCCTGTAGCAGTTTGAACTTAGCTTTGTATGGCCTGTACATGTACTAGGCATGCAGTGCCTGCTAGGTATGCCTAACAGGTGTAAACTGAAAGAGGATCTTGTATTGTCTATAAGGACTTTTTAAGTGGAGTACCAGTTTTTTCCCCGAAACAATGCGAAAACTGGATATAGCTATAAAATTGGCAAAAGAAAAGTTAGACAAATGAAAATGGAAGTTGCAGGTATATGGAAAACCTCAGAAACTTTCACCATGGAAATGAAAGTGCTTAGAGCTACTGTAAAATTTAATTTAAAACCAAAAAATACAGGTTGATTACTCTCAGTGTATATACAATCATATGTAATTTCCCCCTGCCCCATCAGTCTGTTTATGTTCCCTTCGTTCCCTCCGTAAAGGGGTCATTATTTTCAGAACATTGGGTGAAATCTTGACCCGCATTGAAATCAAGAGTAATCTCTCTTCTGATATAAATCGATGCAGGATTTCAGCCACACATTTTGATTACGTCGAATTGCATCAAATCCAGGCAGTTGTCTCCATGTTTGTTTTGTTTCGCTTGGGACTTAGTTCTGCCAATGTGAAGATTAGCACTAGTGGAAAGCTGAGCTGCTTGCTTTGTTCCACATGATTCATTAGGATGAAAAGCTAGGAGAAAGAAACAGTAACAAGTTGGTAAACTGGAAGGAAGAACCAAACAGATCCCCAGAAGAAGTTTAATGGAATTTAGGCACAGACGCACAAGATGTGATCTTGTTCAGCTTCTAAACCCGTAAGCACTTTCTGACAGTGCTGTTGGACCCAAAATTCTGATTTAGAGCATGTCCAGCACAGCTGTTTTCTGACAAATCTAAGCAACTCATCATCTTACCTTGCATTTAAGCTGGATAGGCAGCCTTAAGTTAGTGTTCATTCACCTTTTTTTTTTTCACCCTTTTTTTATTTATCTCAAAGAGAAAAGTTATGTATTCTCAGAACACACTTAATGCAAAAAGATTTTGCTCTGCACAAGGTAACAGCAGGCCAGAGAAGACTGAAGGAGCAGTGGTGCTTATCCCATCCTCATGGCCCCTCTCTGTCGTAGCTCATCAGTTATTGATCCTGGATGTGGGAGATGTAGTTCCTGTGACTTTATTTCAGTTAAATGGAGTTTACTCGCATCTTTCACCCCTGAGAGAGCTCTCTCAGTTGCTTGGCTGTTGGGGGTTTGGGGAGTGGGAATGTTCTCCAGACTCACAGAGTGACAGAGGCTCTATGAAAAAAGGAATCGAAGATCTCCTGTTGGGGAAGGAGGTGTTCATGCTGAGAGGGGAGACACAAGTTCTGGTTTCTGCTGCATATGATGTCTAAATAATTCCTGCATGCATTGCTTTCTGTTGGCAGAATTATCTCTTCCTTCTATCCCTGGATTGTTTAGTATAATTTCAATAATTTGGCATTTCATTTACAGGTTAGATTTTCGTGGATGAGACAGCATTATAAAACGTGTAAGAAGTATCAGGATGAATATGGTGTTTCTTCTATTATTCCAAACTTACAGATTTCCCAAGATTCAACAGGGAACAGGTAATCAGGGTGTTTTATGTATAACAATGCATCATCTTCTTCCCCCACCCCCCAAGGAAAGTTTTTTTTTTCCAGGGCATGCCTTCTTTTTGCAATAATTATTGTCCATATTTTTGTGCTTCAAAAACGACTGTGTTCCCAGGTCTTTTTCTTTACTCTTAGCAAACAGAAGAAAACCTTTCTACGTGATGGTTTGGAATGTCTTCTAGGGACTTTCCTAAAAAGTGTATAGTATTTGTAGCTTACTTTCATTGCCTTGACAGCATTTGACGAGCTTACTTTGTAACAGATTTCATAATATTTAGCCCCAGGGAAGTTTTTGTGCTTCAAAAACGACTGTGTTCCCAGGTCTTTTTCTTTACTCTTAGCAAACAGAAGAAAACCTTTCTACGTGATGGTTTGGAATGTCTTCTAGGGACTTTCCTAAAAAGTGTATAGTATTTGTAGCTTACTTTCATTGCCTTGACAGCATTTGACGAGACTACTTTGTAACAGATTTCATAATATTTAGCCGGGAAGTTTCCTTCTCTTTTTATTCCCTGCCCCCCCCCCTTTCTAAGTATGTTTTGTGGGGTTTTCTACGTGATGGTTTGGAATGTCTTCTAGGGACTTTCCTAAAAAGTGTATAGTATTTGTAGCTTACTTTCATTGCCTTGACAGCATTTGACGAGCTTACTTTGTAACAGATTTCATAATATTTAGCCCCAGGGAAGTTTCCTTCTCTTTTTATTCCCTGCCCCCCCCTTTTCTAAGTCTGTTTTAGTGGGTATCCTGTTTAAAAACATTACTGTGCAAGCTTTTGCTTTCTGATTGAATTTATTTTCAACTGATCTCTTCTGAAACATGTAAGGAACTCCAGTATGTTACACACCATAAAATACAAATGCCACTTACCATTTGTTTTTCAGGCAGTAAAGCTAAAGAACTTTCTTTTTCATACCTTTTCACTAATGTGTTTGGTTTGGTTGAGGATTTTTGCTTATTTTTGAAGACCTTTTTTTACATGTTAATTTCATAGAGCTTTATTATATATAGCCTGTCCTTTATTTACTTTCTTTTGACATCTATTTTCTATTTTTAGCAGACTGAACTTCTCTGTGTTTGGTTTTCAACCCATCAGTATATTGAAAGCGGAACTTTAAGCTGTTACTAGAAATAGTTGCAGCAATGTTCCCGGAAAAATGACGGAGAAGATTATACTGAGTACTACTGAAAGGCATTTAAAGAATAATGCAGTCATCAGGCACAGTCAACATGGGTTCACAAAGGGAAAGTCCTGTTTAACTAATTTGATATCCTTCTACGATAAGGTCACCCACCCAGTGACTGAAGGGAAGGCAGTGGATGGAGTTTTTCTGGATTTTAGTAAGGCTTTTGATGCTGTCCCTCACAGCATCGTTCTGGACAAGTTGTCCGTCTGTGGGATGAGCGTGTTCACGGGGCGCTGGATGAAGAACTGGCTGAAGGGCAGGGCTCAAAGGGTTGTAGTGAATGGGGCTACATCTGGCTGGCGACCGGTCACCAGCGGTGTTCCTCAGGG